CCGTCGTCAGGAATGTAGACCGCCTTCTTGGGATCCCAACCCATGGCACCCCCTTCGACGATGGGCCCCCCCGTCCAAGCTGTCACCTGTTTTCAACGACGAAGGTTAAACTGGGCATCCAAACACTTAGCTGCAGCACGTGACGTCAACTTCTCATGGCCGCACACCGGCATAGGGATCCCCAAGTCTCTCGATTGTTCCAGCATTTTGCCCAATATAAGGGGTTCCAACAGGTCAGGCTACAACTCAGGGTATGCGGCCATGGCCAGTTCCAGAACGGCACCCCTGAATGCCACCGGCGACTCTTCTGGCGCCCGCTGTCGCTGAACGAATCTTCGGTGAGCGTCATCCGGAGGCTCGTACGCGTCCTCCATTTCCTCAAAGACCCCTTTCAGTGTCTTCTTCTTGTCGGCCTTGATGGAGCGGAAGAACCTGACGGACTCATCGTCGAGAAGCGTTGGCAGGACCTCCAGGGCCTCTGCGTCAGTCCATTTGGCGGAGCGTACCGCCGCCAAGAACCGGCAGGTGAACGCACTCCAGTCCCCGCCGATGGAGAATTCTTTAACTGTCGTCAAATGACGGCTGCGGGTTCTCGCTCCGCTGTCCTCTGCAGGTGGCGACTTGCGTGGCAGGTTCAAGATGGCGTCACACCGCAACGTGTCCAAGATGGCGGCTTCCCACGGTGGAGGGCGCAAGATGGCGGCTTCCCGCCGTTCTTCCCTCGCCACGCCCAAGATGGCGTCCTCGTGCCGCGTGGTGGAGAGGGCTGGCGGCGCAGGCAAGGCCCCGGTCTGTTGTTCACCCCCGGGCCTCCCTGAAGCCATCGCCGGCGTCACAAGGTCGCACAGCTGCGCCAAGTCCGTCTTCAATGCCTCCAGCTGGGCCACCACCTGGCGCCATCCTTCGTCAGCATCCACCAGCGCGGGTGGATCCACCGAAGCGGCCACATCCTGCACCCCCGGGCCGTCACTCGTCCCTGCGTCGCTCCCTCTCTCCATCGTCGGTAGCGCCACCGCTTGAGGAAGGTCGTCGTCGTCGGTAGATGTAGCAGACGATGGTGCGGGAATATTCCTTCTTCTGAGCTGTTTTGACATGCCGTTTCACTTCCGACACCAGTGTAATAAAGGACTCTTGCACCGTGTCTGTCTCCGTTGTCCTTTATTCGGTTCGTACAACCTTGCCCACACGGCGTCCTCGCTCAGTGTCTCCTCTGCCTCCCGCTTGGCAGCCACACCGCTGCCGTTGCTCCTGCAGCCCCATCGCTGCTCCACCATGCAGTCCCACTGCCGCTCGTTATGCAGCCTCACTGCTGCCCGCTATGCAGCCCCACTGCTGCCCGATATGCAGCCCCGCTGCTGGTCCTCTGTCGCCTCTGTGCCCGGACACCGCTGGCCGACGGTGCCGAGTCTCCAGCTCGTGGCGGTCGCGCCACTTTCCTCCTCCTGCCCCGCGTGGCCTTCCCCTGTCTTTACTCTGACTCTATCCTCGAACCCTTCCGGTTCCTGTCCCTAAATCCTCTCCCCCACGTGACCCTAACTCCTCCCACTTGTTACGTCACATCCAGCGAGCCCATTTACGCTCGCATTACATACACACTGGGGGAGTGGTGGTACAACGGCTGACGTGCTGCACAACGTAGGGTCGATTCCTGACTAAGCAGCATTGAGCTTGGTTAGTCCTGGGATGGGTGACCACCGTGCATAGCAGGTGCTATAGGCTGCGGGGCTTTCTGACCCACCGATTTAGCTTTTTATGTTACCAGGTGCAGGGCCCCACTGAGTTATGTAGCTCTTGTTTAGAAGCGAGCTCGCTGTCACAAATGATAGCTCAACCAAATGGCTGGCATCATTATTGTCATCATGTGGACATTTATATCAGCAGCCAAATATACATAGAGACCCATATAGATACAGAGAGACCCATATAGATGTAGTGGATTAACACGCGCCAAGGAGGGAAATTGTAATCACGTGTGGGTAATGAACAGTGGGGTCGCATCAGGACAAGCAGGTGTTGCTGAGGGATAACGGCCGGAGCGAGACGGCTCGTTAGGTGATTATGGGATGCAGGGCAGTGATTGGCCGGTTGTTGTTGTCAGGGAAAAGGTGGCGCCAGCAAGTCTGGGGATGGGAGCACGTGGTGGCGGGGCCCGCGGGCGCGGGGTCGTCAGTGGGGATGCCAGTTAATTAATTGGAAATTAATGAGGCCGGGGATAAATACGGGAGCGTGAGAGTGAGATGGGGAGTTGTGCTGGGAGCTGGACGGAGACAGTCGGAGCAGAAGAAGAATAGGTTATCAGTAGAGACGGAAAAGAAGAGGATATGGGAGATAGCATAGGTTAGCAGCGGAGACGGAGAAGAAGAAGAGATGAGAGATAGGATAATCTAGCAGTGGAACGGGAACAGAGAAGACACAAGAGACAGAGACGAGAGGGAGAGACAGTCGGAGTGCGACGGAGAAGCTGGTAGAGAGCGAGACAGTCGAAGCCGAGACAGGCGAAGCAGAGAGCAGAGTCGGGGGGAGAGAGACGGAGAGAAAGAGGGAGGGAACAGAGCGAGCGAGGCCAGCGGGGCGCGGCAAGTGACCAGAGAACGCGCTGAAGTCTTGGTTGTGGAATGTGCTGAGTTTGTAAAATAAAGTGACGACGGAAAATAATTTGTCCTCGTAAAGTTCAGCACCACATAGATACTAGACCCATAGTCACACATAGAGAACAATAAAGATGCCAAGGGATAAATAGAGATACATAGAGACCCATAGACTGAATTAATTTTATGTTACCAGATAAGGCCCCACTGAGCCGTCTAGATCTTGTTCAGAAGCGACCTGGCCACCACAAATGATAGCTCAACCAAGGGGCTGATATCGTCTCCCTGTGGACATTTATAGAAGCACCCCAATACTCGCTGCTAGTGGAGGGAAAACCCAGAGGACTCGGCAGAGCCTTCGGCATCAACGTTTATTTAATTAAATAAAAACTTGTAACTGTTGTGACGGGGTGGGCAGCAGAGGGCAGTGCAGCATGAACCATTGTTGTATTGTACCTCTACGCTTCTACATTCACGATCCCTGCCATCGCCAAAGCGCACCGACGAGAGCGGTGAAGTATGGTCAAATAACACCCCCCCCCCCAGGATGCACACGGCATGGATAGACGCTCATCCAGCAGCGGAGTGACACAATGTCTGTGCATTGATGCGAGTGTGCGAGTCTGTGGTGGCTATTGTACAGGCGTCGTATTTGTAGAGAGATGCTGTGAGAGTGGCATAAACATCGTGGTGCTGGCATCATCACCACTGTTCACTTACCACTGCGGACACACCCATGGGCATATTAGTGTAGCACTATTGTTATTATTTATTATTCACTAATTGTTATTCACTAATTACACTATGTAACACTCTTTTTGTTCCTGGCCCTTGCTTCCAGCGGGGGATTAGCCAACACCGCTGGAGAGGACGAGATGAGAGAGGGGTCCCAGACTTCTCTTGCATTCTCTCTTGTCTTCACTCCAACCAACTCCACTCCTCTGCCTCACACGTTCCCCTTTTATCCCCCTCCTCATTAAGTGCCCTCAGATGGCCCTCATTAAGCTGGCGTCGTCCCGACGCCTCTCGCACGTGTTATCCCCTTCATCGCTACTATCTCTCACCTCCGTGGCGCCTACTCCGCGTTTGCATTTGCAGCCAGCCAATCACTGCAATGCATCCTCTGTCTGGTTGCTCTCCCTGTCCGCACCTGTTCGCGCTGACTTGACCTCACTGTCCGCAGCCCACACATGTGTGCACACTGTTTTAAACCCCCGAGCGCATTACTCCACTACACTAAAGGCCTGAGGTGTGGACTCGAGTCATGTGACTTGGACTCGAGTCAGACTCGAGTCATGAATTTGATGACTTCAGACTCGACTTGGACTTGCATAACAATGACTTTGTCCCACCTCTGAGGTGTGGACTCGAGTCATGTGACTTGGACTCGAGTCAGACTCGAGTCATGAATTTGATGACTTCAGACTCGACTTGTACTTGCATAACAATGACTTTGTCCCACCTCTGCTAAAGGCATACATACATTATTACAAAAGATTTAGAAGTCAGTTGTCTTTCGAGATTAACGATTACACTGTTAAAAAGTTTCACGAATGAGCCCCGAAATGTAGCCTTACATCATGTTCTCGTCATACTGTCCTTAGTAGCGGCGTTCAAAGTCCAGTATATCCTGGTGGAAGCGCTTGCCTTGCTCCTCCTCGTACGCTTCCATGTTCTCCTTGAATCTATCAAGATGAGCATCAAGGATATGGAATTTGAGGGACATCATACAGCCCATTGTGCCTCAGTTTGTCACCAGAGTCTCAAACAGCTCCACATAGATTTCCAACTTGTGATTGCTCAGGAAGCCACGAACCACTGCTACAGAGCTGTTACAAGCCGCTTTCTCCTTGCTAGTGAGCTTTTTGGGAATTCATTACACTCCAGGATCTTCTTTATCTTTCTGAGGCAAAGGTCAAAACCGGCTTTGACCTTTGCCTCAGACAGCTTAGGGAAGAAATCTTGAAGGTACTTGAAGGCTGCCAACTCCTTATCTACAGCTCTGACATTGTTTCATAAGGCACAATTGGATGTGCAGTGGCTCTCACTTGACATTGTTCCTCCCCACGGAGAACTCGATCCTCACAGCTCTGCACAGATGAATTTATGACTTGCTGTACTGCCATATCATGGCCACCTCTTAGCCTGTAAAAATAAATCTGGTATTTCCAGATAGCCCCCCATCTTAGCACTAACCAGGCTCAAATCCAGAGTATCTTCCAAGATATGACAAGATTGGGTACATTGACTATCGATTAAAGAATGTGGAATTACCAGCACTGTTTCATGACCTCCAGTGGAAATGAACACTGGACCATTGGTTACTTGAGAATGTTAACGATAATAACTTTATTCCGTCGGTTTGACTATCTAAAACCTGATTTTGATATTGTGATGAATTTCCGTGTGCAGACCATGCCAAGGAATTTGGAGGAAAGTTTGGAGTCCAGACTGACAGGCTGGATACGGTAAGCAGCATTGTGCACCATACAGATCTGACCCTAGCTCGATGTTATTTTTTCCAAACAGAACATTGTAGATCTTCATTTGAAGCTGTCAAGACTGCAGGAATACATACTCTTTGGTTCTTTTGGTATAGTCACGTAGGTAGAAATAATAATAGATCATGACGTTTCAATCGCAACACACGCAACCGTCCTCAGGTGAAAACATATACAGCAGGAGAACTGCTGGGGCAGGAAAATATAGAGAGAGAGCTGCTGTAACAAGAGGTTACAGTGAGGGAAACAAGTATTGATTGCTTCTGTGAACAGGTGTTTTTTATATAGGTAGGAGCACTCCCTTTAAGAGTGTGCTCCTAATCTCAGCTCGTTACCTATATAAAAGACACCTGGGAGCTAGAAATCATTCTCATTGAGAGGGGGTCAAAAACGTATTTCCTTCATTAAAATGCAAATCAATTTATAACATTTTTGACATGCGTTTTTCTGTCTCTCACTGTTCAAATAATCCTACCATTAAAATGATAGACTGATAATTTCTTTGTCAGTGGGCAAACGTACAAAATAAGCAGGGGATCAAATACTGTTTTCCCTCACTGTATCACCAACTCTACCTGCCTCCATCGCCCACTGTTGGCGATGTAACCATCTCTCACCCTCACCTTGTCTCACCCACCACTTATTTCACCTGCGTTGTTGTTGTTTCACATTCACACGCACGGCTATTGTTCACTCGTCTTTCATCCATCTTTCTACATCCCCCTCCCCAAGTGGTCTGGAGGCACAGGGTGGTGCAATGCACAGGCATCATGGCAGAACACAAAAAGACTGACGGCCGCTCCTCAAGGCTTTTCAGAACAACCAGAAATGTACTTCCCCAAGTAGATCCCATTGTCCTAAGAAGTTATTTGTTTTCAAGGGCGACTTTGCCAGAAGACAACATAAAAGCGTTCTATCATTACATACCCACTGACTGGCCCAATCATACAGTCATGCAATCACACGTTCACTTGTCCTCTCAATCAACCACTCACTCACCCACTCACTCACCCACTAATACACCCACTCACTCATTCACCCACCCTCCCACTCGCCCACTCATTCACCCATCCTCCCACTCGCCTACTCTCTCACGCATACTTCAGAATCACTTCCCTGACTAGTGCAAACTGGGCTAAGAAACTCTTTTTCAAGGACGATCCCGCCGGCAATTGTGGGCAAGTTTTTTTGTCGTTGGCCCTCCAAAACTCTTTGCCTACCATAAAACCCAGCAACGAAAATAACTAAAAAAGCCATTTTTTTTAAATGGCAAAAAAAGAAAAATATACATTTCAAGAGCCACTACAATGCAGGTCATTACAAGACGTGGGCATGTGTCTTGCACTTCTTTGGCACCGTACTTAGCCAACCGTTTTAATCATAGGTGCGGGAGATCGAAATCAAACTAAATACAATAATCATCAGTTTTAAAGAAATTAGTTTGTTAATCTCGATTATTTAACAGCACATAACTCTAGTGGCTTCCTAACCAAACCGGATCAGTCTTGCACTCAGACAACAGCTGGTGGGATGCGTTGTGCATGGCTTGTACGAGTGACAGAACTGGCGAAACCTGCATTTCTGTATGGGGGTGTTTTTTGCAATCAGGTTGATGGGTTACATTTTGAAGGCATGTTTTAAATTCTGCATGAAGCTCATTCTTGGTTTATTTTTCATGCGTCAATCGGTGCCATGGACACCCTTTAGCTAATGAGAGGTTCCATCTGGGGGGACATTTCCCAGGTGAAATATTTAAAAAATTTTACCACTAGCCACCCTCATTGCTTTGGAAACGGTGGTTGTCTTGCATGTGTTTAACTTGCATAAGGGGTAAAAACAAGTCAGCTCAGCTTGTGAAAAAATCAAATTAATCCGTTAAGGAGCAAAGAGTTGCGGGATGGGAGCAAATATCGTTCCAACAAAGACAACTCGCCCACCACTCGCACCAAATATCATTTATTTCAACGGTTCCTCTACTTTGTATTCATTTATTTTACGATGTATATATTTTTCATGTTGTATATTAATTGTGTGTTGTTTCACTTTATTTTTCCCATTCAGTGTTAGCTGCTTAGGTCGTGATGGGTTTTTTTCAATTATTGTTCTTTGCCCTTTCTACAGTCACCGTCCTGCTGTAGCATGCACCGATGCTTACTTTAGTGAGGGTGATACTGTATATGGTCGCGGGACATGGATGAAGGGGGGGCCATGGTGAGTGTGGGGGCGGGGTGTGGGCTGGGAGGCAAAATTGTGAAACCGAGGGTTAGCTGGGAGGCAACGACTGGAGCCGAAAATTAGGCTTTGTGATGTAGATGGCGGAAGTAGATAAGCAAGCTAGGATTAAGCCGCATTTTGTTATGCAATGCGCAGGCTAACAACGTATGGAGTTCAAACTGAAATGTGCAAGCTAAAAAACAACTAGTGGTACACACTACCATGGCGATGGTAGTGTGTGAAACTGGGGGTAACAGACTGGGAATATGGACATGTTCATGAAAATAAATCTAAACCGGCTGTCTAGCAGTAAACTGCCCGGTAGCTAACGTTTAACATGGTTAATTACATCTTTCCAATGATTGCACAATTTGAATCCATCATCTCTGTTGAAGTTACGTCTATGTTTGTATATCTGGATGGCTTCATGGACAAATCTTTGGTAGTATCCAGGAGGCTTGCAGAGCACCTTGGTATCGGAGATCACAATGTCATGAGAACCAGCATCATTTTAACAGTGGTCGGCTACGGCCGAATAATTCGTTCTGCCATGTTTCAGATCCAACTTGTGCTCGCGAATGCGATCAGAAATATGTCGTTTCGTTTCCTCGATGTAACAATCCCCACAGGTGCAACTTAGTTTGTAGACACCAGGATAATGTAAGTCAAGAATGACATCCTTTACGGATGGGATCAGATCACGGATCTTGTGTACTGTACTGAATCGGACCTGGATCTTGTGTTTGTTTAGAACTTTGGAAATCTTTTTGGTAATGCCTGCTATGTATGGCAACGTTTTTGCTGATGTTGCTAACATGTTTCTTAGGATTCTTAAGGATAGTGGCTATTTCAGCTTTCGCAACGTCCATTTGGATGTGTCCTAAGCCTTTAAGGGCTACATCGATATGGGAGATTATATCTTCTACTGGGATATGTTTACGGGTAACTGCGAAATTCAGCCCTTTAGCTAGTATCGTTTTTAGATTATCAGAGATCGGGATGTTACTTTGATTGATAACGATCTTGTTAACATCTAGCTTTGTAATGCGTGGTTCTGGTTTCTTCTTTGCTAGGAGGTTGAATTTAGCAATCAGGTTAGCGTTACATTTGGTTGACAGTGAATCAGCAGAGGATGCTGTCAACACGGTCCCAATTGGAAGGGGACATTTTTTGTGTTAACATTAAATCATTAAATCTACATCACAAAGCCTCAGTTTCGGCTCCAGTCATTGCCTCCCAGCGCACTCTCGGTTTCCCAACTTTGCTTCTCAGCCCACACCCCGCCCCCACACTCACCATGCCCCCCTCTCCCTCCATGCCCTGCGACTATATAATCCCTCGTCACAGCCATCTCTGAGACACACTTAAGCGTTTGTGCTTTCACTACGTTGTGCCCACCTGAAGAAGGACGCTTGTGTTGCGCCCGAAACGTCGTGATTTAATTTAGTTGTTTTTTCATTATTATATTTTTCTTTTATTTCATACTTTTTACCTACGTGACTTTACCGAGGAAACCAAAGAGTATGAATCCTTGCAGTCACGAAAACTCCAAATCTAGAAGAAATTGGGCCAGTATGTAGATGAGTGAGTTAATGGTGGAAACCATCGGACGGAGTGGGGTACCTTCTTTATGGATTTTTGTAAAGCCATAAAATCTGAGTGGTCTAGCAGCCGAAGGTTTTAGAGAGAGCTGCTTGGTCGGTTCAATTATAGAAGTCGAATTAGTGATGATACTGTTGGTTTTCGTAGCCAGGCGGTTGGTAAGATCTCTATTGATTTTGGTATAACTGCCATCATTAAGAAGGTCCTGCACTTTGTTGTTGTAAGTGGTTTCATCCATGATGACAGTGGCATTGCCCTTGTCGGCTGAGAGGATGACAATGTCATCTCTCTTTTTGAATTGAGCGAGTTCAAAACGCTCGTCCTTGCTGATGTTGCTAATGGGTTTCTTAGCATTTTTGAGGATAGCAGCGATTTCAAATCTTGCAACGTCTGCTGGATATGTCCCAAACCTTTGAGGGATACGTCAACCTGGGCAATGAAATCATCCACTGGGATGTGGTTTGGGGTGACTGGGAAATGTAACCCTTTAGCTAGTACCGATTTTAGGCTGTCGGAAATTGGGCTGTTACTCTGATTAAAAACAATCTTGTTAACATCTAACTTTTAAATGTGTCTCTGGTTTATTTTTTGACAAGAGGTTGAATTTTGCAATCAGGTTAAGTTTTCCTTACAGTTGACATTGAAGTAGCTGAAGAAACTGTCATGTTATCTACATGGTCCCAATCAGATGTGGACATTTTATCTGTTAATGATGAGTGTGATTGTTTGCACACGTCCTGCAGCAAGGAATATTCCCCTGGTCGGTCAGCAGCTGCCCAGGAGCACCTTTGTCCAGGACATAGCCCTGGAGAAAGGCCTCCGTGATGGCTGCTGTGGACTGGTTGGGGAGTGGCCAGGCCATAGGCCATCGAGTGAAGTATTCTACCTCAACCAGCAGGTACTTGTTACCCCGGGGAGTGGCAGGGAATGGCCCCAGGATGTCCAGCGTGACAAGTTCATTGATGCAGGACACCTGAATGGATTACAAGGACGGCAGGCAGGATGGCCTAGCTGGCGGCTTCCGCCGTGCGCACTGGATGCAGCCCTGCAGTAAGTTGGCCACGTCCCTTGCCATGACCGGCCAGAAGAAGTCCAGCTGGAGCATGGCAAGGGTTTTATTCACCCCTAAATGCAAGAGGTGCTCGTGAACA